TGGAAATCATAGTTTTTAATTAAATTTTCAAAAATTGCATTCCCATCAAACCTAACGGTAGAAGAGCTAAGAAGACAAATATTAAGGTTTTTTTGTAAACGAAAGTTTTCATTTGGATTCCTAAACAATCCATTCCAAAAAACACCATTTCTAGAAGATCCATGGAAAAAATTTGAGCTTAATTGGAAACCCTGATTTTTATTTGAATTCCCAAAGAACCCACCTCGATTAAACCTATTGTTAGTGGAGTCAGGGAAAAATTTTGGGTTGAGAGGAAAATCAAGGATTTTATTTGGTTTTTTAAAAAATCCATTGCCATAAACTTTACTGCTATAGGAACCAAGAAAAAAATTTGTGTTTGAACAGAAATTAAGGTTTCTGTTTGGATCCCCAGAAAATTCATTCCCATCCACTTTAGTGCTAGGGGAACCAAGGAAAAAATTTTGTTATGGAGGGAAATCAAGGTTTCTCTTTGGACTCATAGAAAATTCATTTCCATCCACTATTTTGCTACAAGAGCCATGAAACAAATTTGGGTTTGGAGAAAAATAAAAGCTTGTACTAATTAGTATCATAGGGCACTGGAGAATTCTTTAAATGTCACACTAGTTTAAATCATAGTGGACAATACTTTATGGCCTTTCAGCCTTACAAATGCTATGTCATAAACTCTTACAGCTTCTTTTTCTGTATCTAATACAAAACATATATATGTAATATGTCATCATTTGCCTTTGAATGATTTAAATTTGCGTTTTGTGGACTATATTATAAATATATATTTAGGAATTGTCATATATACAAATTTATACAACAATTACACTCAAAAACTTAAAACTTATAAGCACTTATTTAGTAGGGGACTTACCAAATTTTTTGCGATATAATGTTTTTAATAAGATACTTTTTTCCACTCTCGCTTGCCATTTCTTAAAATTCGAGTTCTCTTTCCACAATTCTAACTGATAAAAAAACAAAGCAAGAGAGCTAAAGAAATAAGAAATTTTTATTGCGAAACTCCACAAGATTTAGATACGTCCTTTACGAATCCCTTGCTATGAAATTCATCAAAGTTCATGCTCGAAATAAATGTAAAATAGCATGTCTTTTATATATATATATATATATAATTTACTTAAAATAAGAATTACTAGGCTAAGATTTTAATACTCATAATTTATAAAGAAAATATACCTTTTAATTGCGAGAACATAATTCTTATTGGATAAAGCTTTCATTTCTTCCCAATATTGATTATGTAACGACCCCGGAAATATCCAAAGGAAATAAATGATAATTAAAGTGCGGAAGCGAAATAAATGTTCAAGGTTTACATTTTTTACACAATAACTTAAAGTACCAATTAGTGTTACAGAATTCACCCTTTTAAAAGAAATACAAAGAAATAAGGAAATGAACGAAAAATAAAAAAAACTAGCATTCTATTCGCAACTTTCTTGCGGATCGGGCTCTGGATCCTAGTTCTCTTGATCTGAAATGGTTAAATAAGGGATGAGCTACACTAGCTCAGTAAGAAATCACACTATATCACCGACATAGAAATGAATGTTAGTAGAAAAAATTAAAAAAAAATTAATGGAGCACTAAATTAAACAAATTCATTTATCAATAATAAAACTATTTACCGTCCACTTACCATAGTGAGATTTATAAAAAAACAACCTATAGAAAATAATAACATTATATATATCACGATTCTGTATATAATTAACAACATAGCACATATTATACTTTTATATTCAAATCATCAAATAACAATTGCCAATTTTTTCCACCAACTTGCTAGTATCCATAGGGGTTCATAGGGATGTTCCTGCTACGCGTGAACATTTTCCTTTAACATTCTCAATTACGAGCTGTTCCCATACCCGGTCTAGTACGAGCGTCAAATTATCAAACCTTTAATACCATGTCCGGTATAAGAGTAAAACAGGTCATTCCAATACCTTATCTGGTATGAGATACGTTCACGGTAGGGTTACCTGTGTACCCGGTTCGTCCACTATCTCACATGATGTCTAGTAAGACTGCTGTTTCATCCAGTTACTTAATCACACAAGTTTTTCGTTTACCTTTAACCTCAATTTTGTTAATTCAACCGTAAACACGTAAAACAACAATACATGCATTCAAAACTATAAAATAAATCAACAAGGCACTATCATGCATTTAAACTGTAAAAACAATCAACAGAAATCAACAGGGAATAGTTTCCGGTTCTGGCTCCATTAGCAATCCATAATTAATCCGTAACATTTTTTAAATTGTACAAAATATCGTATTTATTGTTAATTAGACTTGAATTCTATAACAAAGAATAGGGTAAGAGATTCTTACTCAATTAGATGTCTGAAATGCTAAACTTGTTGGCTGCGCCTACTGGCAGTCCCCGAGTTCCCTGAATTTTCATTCAGGAATTAAAACATACTTCAAGTACTTATAAATATCTCAAAAAATCCAAAATCAGTGTTAGGACCACCTTTAAGCCAATTTCAGAATTCTGGCACGGCGGCTTCGTCGTGCTCCGGCGACGGATCCGCCACCCATGGTAGTGGTTTGTTTCGGATCGGCTGTTTTCAGTCAGTTTTGTAATAATCTTTGTGAGAAAATACGTTAAGGGGTTTCGGTCGGTAAAGAAAAATCGAAAAATCGAAACTCACCGGCGGCAGAGTTCTCTAATGCAGAGGCCCCGTCGGCTCACATTCACGGTTGGATGTTTTGCTTTAGTCAACCTGTAGAGAAAGGAATGATGATTACAATAGTGAAAAAATTATATGAAACGAGTATTGGAAAGACCTCATCGAAGACGATTTTTACATTTCCTGTGGTAGCACTGCCGAGCTTTGCCTGCGATTTCGACCAATCTACCCGGTCTTTTGCTTCGATT